TTGTTTTGATTACGTAATAACGTACAAAAAATAACAAGAAGAAAAAAATCTATGATCATAAGAGTTTGCACGATAATGATTATTATCGATTTTTCTAATCACCCTATTTAAAATTTTCCCAATGTCCGACAAACTCTTATGATCATATGAATGTATTTCTGTTTGTTATTTTTTTCATGTGTTACGAATATTCACATTTACTCGAATTAAAACTCAGCCGGCTCCCTACAAATCATGATCATAAATTGTCGGATAACACCATTCATTCGGCAAATTTTTGAATAACGGTAATTTGGCTCAACCGGGCAAATGATTGGCTGACACGTGCCGCGAAGCGGCACGTGTTATTCAAAAAATTTTGCCCAATAATGTATACTTTTTTTCGTTATGAATTTTGGCGCAGAAAATTGATTTGCTGCGCAAAGATGTTTAACGAAAAATCTTATTAATAAAAAATTATTCTTATAGCGCAATAAAATTTCGAACAATTTTATTTAGTGAGTAAAGTTTGATTTTCTTAGAAAAAAGTCTAGGTTTCTTGTAATATGTTTAATTCGTCATAATACCCACCTTCGTCAAAATACCCTTATACGTATTTAGTTATTATTAATTATAAAATTTCTAGTTTTCTCTTGGGATCACGCTAATATCATGTGTAATGTGAAATACCCAATACCCAATAGTCTTTAATCTGCGCTAACTGCATGAGAATTTTTATTGATTATTGATAGACAGGCGTGTAGGGAAATCAATATAATTATTGTAATATGTACTTAGTAAAATTATAATACGTGGAAAATTTTTGTGATACGTACCACATATCGCATATCTTTATCCTAATGGATGTTTATCCTAATGGATGTGTCTATCTTTATCCTAATGGATGTGTCTATCTTAAGCATGGTGCCTGACGATCAGATACTGTAGATACAGTTAGAAGTTAACTTACATACGTACGTTCAAACATAAAGAAAACAAAAGGATGAACCTTTAACTATAAATAAGTAAAGAGTTCACAGTATACATGTAACACAATACCACATTTAATTCTTTAATTCGATGGTAACACTATTATGAAAAGAAATTAAACTCTATTTGATCGTGATCGATTCAAATAAATCAAGCCAGACTTCAATTATTCGTGGATCTTATGCATTAATAATTATTTATTATCGGTATTAACAAATGGATTTCACCTTTAAATTTGTAATATATTACACATGATATATTTGGAAGAAATTAATTGCATTAAAATATTAGCACGTATCGGTATGTAGTAAATAATAATAATAGCGGCGGCGTTGTGCATAACAAATTTCTCGACACTTGTTACCCAATCATATGTAGCCCTTGTGCAACGTTGTCAGTGTTTAACAAAGATCATTACTACAAATCATTACTACAATCAATATTTATATATATTCTTTTTTTCGATTTATTCTTACAATAAAACTTTAGTTAAGCTGTGTGATCCTAGTTTATAAACATTTCCCATGACGGCAATAACTCAAATAGCTACGATCATCCTGCTCAATACTAATTATATAATCTTCGTCTTCAAAAAAACTCAATCATTAATAAAATCATTATAATTATTATATTCATCCTTTCTCGTACCGAAATTAAATTTGTAAAAAAATTTAATCGATTAAACTTTTTAAAACCTACCAAAAATTTTCTCAATGTCCAATATTAACTTTAATATTTGTTTTAAAGCTAATATCGACTTATACTTGAAAATTTTTACAAATGCCAAGCATCGATGGCATAAAAATATCAGTGTGATATTAAAAAAACTAACACCATGGATTCCCGTGTTGATTTATGGACTCTTTGTGATTATAATAATATGTTTTTTTATAATACATAAAGATAAAGTCTTAATTGGATTGGAAAAACTTGTACATCAAATACAAACTATGGGAATTGGGTATGTTTCTTTGAGTAACTTTTTTTAATATCTTGGAAAATCTTTCTTGGAAAATCTTTCTTGGGAAAATCTTTCTTGGAAAATCTTTCTTGGAATACCTTTCTTGAAACACTTCTAAATATATTTCTAAATTTATAGTGGCGTAATAATGTTGTACTGCATAATATTCTTTACTACCTTCCCACTAGTATTTGGTTACAGTACATTAATAACTTTATCAGGATTCATATATGGATTTGGTTTGGGATTCTTGATATCCTATGTTGCTGCCTTAACTGGTGCTATCACTGTATTTTTGTTGAGTAGAAAATGGTTTAAAAAACCTGTTAGAAAATGGTTGAATAGAAATAAATCCATGAGTGCTGTTGTTAGAGCTGTTGAAAAAAAAGGGTTCAAGGTAATATTTATATTGATCGTTAATTATACATATATAATTACTTATATATCATTACTTATATATCATTACTTATTACTTCCACAGCTTTTGTTTCTCATACGTATAGCTCCTTATCCGTATAATATCCTCAACATGTTACTTTCCGCTACTCACCTATCTTTACCAACTTTCACTGCTGCTACTGCTTTATCTCTCTTTAAACTCATGATTCATGTTTGGATAGGAACAAAGATTTCATCTTTTTCTGCCTTTTCTTCTCATCTTGGTTTAATTTCCGGTGAAATAGATAATACTACTACTAAACCTCCTTTATCAAAAAGTGATAATTTTGCAAGATATTTTCACTTTATAATAATGTTATGCAGTATTGCTATTGCTATTGGTATAATAATTTATGTATGGATTCTCGCAAGAAGAGTAATTAAGGAAGTTGAGGATGAAAATGGTGAATATATGTGGTTGGATGCTTATGACGTTAATGAAATTGGTGATAATGTAACATTATTGGGTACTGGAGAAATGAGATATAGAAGAAATTCCATCGCTTTTTGTGATGAAGTCGAGGATGATTCTAATATAAATATTAAACCAATCAATAATAATCTTTTCAACGAAAAGGATTCTTCGATTCAAATACAGAGTATAGTAGCATCATGAAATTATATATAAATAATATACTTTGATGATTATATTATCGACATTAGACATTGTAGAATCAGCTAATCTTTACATAAAATTCTATTTTTTTTCATACTGTAATTTACCTATAGTCTTCGACAATTTTTGTTTGTAAAGTTAATTACTTTTATTCATTACTTTTATAATCCGTGAGGATTCAAAAGTTTTTATACATTCGGATATTAAAAATGAAATAAAAA